ACATAACAAATTTATGTATTACACAAAATTTTTTGTTCTTTAGCAGTAAATCAAAACAAATGGGATCATTTATTGGTGTAGTGACTATCAAACAACTAATTAGTGGTAAACTTTGTTCATGTTATAGTAAAGAGGTCGAATTATTAAAGAATAATTTAATTACTTTACAGCAGCAGCAACAACAACAACAACAACAACAATTGCCTCAAACTCAGGCACAGGCGCCTAGACTTGGATGTTCAGGGGGTTGTAAACATTTAAATCTGATACCTTTAAATAATGAGGTTTGGTTGAATAATGATGATCAAGAAAAAGACGAAGAGAAAAATAATAATGATAAGAAAAAAGAGAGTAGTAATAATAATAATAGTAGTAGTAGCAGTAGTAGTAATGATGGATTGAAACGTAATCTAGCTTTAGATATCTCAATTCCAACACTTAACAAATTTATTAATGAATACGATTCAAATGGAATTAATAACATAAGAAAAAGAATTTTGACTAAACAAGAATTTGTGCAACAATATCTTCAATTAATTCAGGTAATATTCATGCATTGTTTTTTATTATAAAATAATGTTTTAATTTAATAATAATCTTTTCTTTCCAATAATGATATTAATTAACTATTAATAATTAGAGAGATCCATCCTTTATGGATATTCTTTATCAAAATTACGTGGTAAAATTTCAAAATACTTGATCTATTCGCAGCAAATAAAAATAAATCTTTATATATAACGATTAGATTAATATAATTACTAGTGTTATTTTTGTTTCTTTAACATTTTACTTTATATAGTAATTATAATTTTATAATAGCAATGATGATAGAGATTAAATTTTTTAAAGAGATTGTTTTTTGTTAATAATTTATACATTTTATATATTTTTGTGCTTTAATCTTAAATCTAAATTTTTCTATTGTTCAGTTTTTTCTAAAAGTTCTAACCCTAATCTCAATCACAAACCCAATGAATAGTTATTATAAATATAAATATGAAAAATGAAATCTATTAATAATTTTGATGAATAAAATATACATGAATTAAAAAAATAAAATAAAATTTAAATCTATCATCTAATAAATGCTCTATTTTTTTTAAAAAAATCAAAAAGTTTTTCTAAAAAAATTTTACTTGCCACCAATAATGATAATAATAACAATGATGATGATATGATTAATGAAATTTTTGTTCAAGTGGTTGAATTATACGTTTAGGAAAGCGAACACTAAATAAATAATCATGTCGTCTATACAAGCAACAATTAATGAATATATTATTATTATTCCTCTTGTTATTATCTAGATCTCAGCTCTCTCTATCATTATTAACTTCTACATCACCATTGTTGTTATTATTGTTGTTGTTATTATCTCAATCTTGGCTCTCTCTACCATTATTGACTTTGATATTGCCATTGTCATTATTATTATTACTATTGTTATTATCTAGATCTCAGCTCTCTCTATCATTATTGACTTTGATATTGCCATTGTCATTATTATTGTTGTTGTTGTTATTGCTTCAATCTTGGTACTTTCTATCATCATTACCACCCTTTTTTTGAAAAAAAAAACAGGTTAGATTACAATTTAATAAGTTTTGTTATTCATACTAAAACAATGTGTAATAATGAAAATACAACTTTAGCATATATCTCTTTCAGTAATGTTAGTAAATCGAATGTCCTCAGTGGAAGTTCAAAATTTGTAGTGTCAGCCGCACTTACAACATCCATGAGCTCTTGTAAATTAATTAATAATAATAGTAACTAGAGTGGCAACAAGTGGCAACCACCACTACCACCATTTAATAATAAATGAAACTCATCTGCGATCATATGCTACTCCGTTTTGTTGTTTTCTCTTTTTTGTTCTATCAAAAAAAAAAACTTTTTTAAAAATGAATTTATGAAAAAAAATCTTGTGATACACAAACACAATATATACACACGTGTGGTTGGACAAAGAAACCCTATTGTTATTGTTGTTGACATCAGTGTTGAAATTTAGTTGTGTAACTAGTACAAATTTAGAAACTATCTCCAAAAATTAAAAATTTGATTGGTGTGTAATGTTACACCCCCCCGCATTCCCCGCATTGAATTTTCAACACTGGTTGACATGATTGGATTTTTTTTTTTGAGAAAAAAATTTGTCTTTTACAAGACAAGAAGAAAGCACAAATGTTGTTATTGCTTGGTATGGCTTGCTCTAAAGGAGACAAGACGTGTTGTTTATTGATGGTGAGAGGTACACTATTTTTTATTGTTGCATATTGTATTATTTTTTTTTTTATAAGTATTGATATGTATTGACTCTCTTTACTTAATAAAATGCCTTGTTGAAAACAAAATGCAGGCAGATCTTGTATTTATTATAGTAAATGATTGGTGTCATTTTTGCTTTTCATAATCAACATTAATATTACAAGAAGGTGTCAAGAAGGGAAATGATTCTATATGTAACATTTTCATAATTGTACACTTTGCAGACATCAAGGCACACATGCTACCTTGAACACTTTATAGTCATTCTCTTATGTTCCTTGTGTACACAAGGTTAATCTGACTTGCGTCCCTTGATGATATGATGATGCAACAGAATTCCAGGGGAGGGGAGCATTGCCCTGAAGTTTATCAAGACTGCATTATTGTTGTCAAGGACATTTTGCTAATCTTTTCCTCATACCAGAGAAGGCTGCTGCTGACATGCTGGCCAAAGTTGACCGCAACAATCCTACATCAGCCAGGGTAAAGATGGCTGGCTATGCAACTGAAAAGTTGTGTGACTCTGTTGAAGAGTTGTGATTTTAGATGTACATCGACATCTAGATCAATCAAGGCAATGAGAAATTGCTGCAACTTGTTTCAAGCTCGGGCAGGAATTTGTAATTCAGAGTGGGATTGGGGACTCTGAAAATTGTATTTGTGCTCTCTGATAATGTTAAGAGGAAAGTTGTAAAATAGTTTTAGTTCGTTCTAATGATTTTCCTAAATCATCTGCTTTTCTGATACTAACACAAACTTGTAATTTTGGGAGGGGACATCATGGGCTTTTGCTTAAATGGTTCCCTGCCCTATAGATTAAAATTATATGGTAATATTTTTTGTCAGCTAAATGCTAACACTCATCTCTGGCATCAAAGTGGAATTTTCACATTCTTTCAGAAAAGGTCAAGAAAAAAGTAATAAAACTGGCTTTATTCTGGTATATTTTGCACAGATTAATCATTTTTTGAAATTTCTTTTTTCTTGATAAATTTTTAATTTGGTTAACTGATTATATATTTTTTAAACATGGGTAAGGGACTAGGACTTTGCCCAATCAGTCTTCTGCCCTAGGTCAAAACTTTTGTTTGTGAGTGAGTGTGCCTAGAGTTGCTCTTTGTAGCTCAAAAGTTAGCTTGGAAAATTTCCGAAATTCTTTGAAACTGGTTTAGACATTGTTAAAACTCCCCTTTGAAACTGGTTTCAAAATAGTTTAGTAAGTCAGCTCTAGGTGGTGTATTCTGACAAAATGGAAACCCAAGTTGCAACCTCTCGCCTAAAGTGCAGAATCTCATACCAGTTGCAAGCACCAACTTTTACTCTAGTGGAACAACAACAATCATTACACAGTGTCAACGGTCAATGCTGTATGGTAGTAGCCAAGCTGGTCTGAGGAAAAGATTAGGGAAATTTTTTTTTGTCTGTCCACCTTAAAAAAGCCTTCCAGCATGCAGGGTCCTCACCTGTGGAGAAAATTACTTACAGTTGTGGGAGTGCAATTGCACCTAACAATGAAATTCATTCCAACTGTCTTTTAGATAAAGTTAAAGAAAATATCCTGAATTTTTATATCTTATTGATGATAATTTAATGATTATAAAAAAAGCAACTACTGATAAAAATAAGATTTACATTCCTCCTGATTACAAATGTAATCATATTAAAACTACTGTCTCTGACTTAAAAGATGAAGATTTTGCCAAAGATGCTGAGGAATATAAAAACAATATTTCAAAAATAAAGGAAATTATGATGATAAATCTATTTCATTTGAATAGCAGGTATAACTTTAATTTTAGGTTTTATAATTGCTATGATTTATGTTGTTGAAGGGGTTAATGATGTATGACAAAACTTTTGACTTTAGCCATTGACGTAATTAAAGTATTGACTAAAGGTAGGTTTCACTAGGACCATTTTGAGGATTTGACTAAAGTAAAAGCCCTTGACGTAAGTAAAACTACTTGACATAAGTAAAACTACTTGACGTAATTAAAAATACTTGACGTAAGTAAAAATGCTTGATACAAGTAAAAACGCTTGATACAAGCAAGCAATAATGATAATGATAAAATAAGATTATCAAAAGTGTAAAAATGTGTGTCCCGAGATGAATAAAAAATTATTATATCATTCTATGTATATTGCAATGATGAAAGAATAATTATCATGGGAAGTTTATAAATGTTATAATTTGAATTAGAAATTTTACTTCATTAAATTACTTATTTTTCCTCTTTTTTTACAAATTAAAACATTTCCATTTCATAAAATGTGAATGTCGTGGAAATTCGAACAGATCTTTTGGGGCGTGTAACTAAAAAATTAGTGACAAAAAAAATTCGTATAATAAATAATATATTAATATATAATTAATATTAATATTAATTAATATTAATAGTTCTTTTCTCCATAAAAATTTTGATACAAAAAAGTGTGAAAACACATGCGGAGTATTAGTATGCGCGGAATTTCGTTATATATTATTATTATTATTATTATTATCTCTTAAACGGTCAAAGTATTCTTTAATGATAATTTTTGTTCGCGATATTGCATTCTTATTAGCCGATTTAACGATCTGAAAAGTAAAAATAGTCAATCGACCAACTTTTAAGGATGATTTTACGAGAACAACAAGGACAACAACCGAATTTTTATTCACAGATCATTTTCGTATTAGGAAGTGATACCTTCAGAAAAAGTTTTTATAACAATAGCCGACAAGCCGTTATAAGGTATTAGTATAATAATAATAATAATAATAATAATAATAATAATAATTAAAATGTGCAAATTTGGGTGCACAGATTTCGTTTAATGTTACACGCCCAAAAGAACTGTTCGAATTTCATTACACTGTTAGGCTTAGTAGCTAAATATGATTCTCAATTTTCTTGAATTCCTTTGGCTGATATTCCATATATCTATTTTTTCCTTTAACTCTTGTATACCGGTCATTTTAGCATTTAAAACCAACTGAGTGTTGGCTATATATTTTCTTTTTCTTCTGAATCTTTTATATATCCTTAAAATCTGGCAATGTTTTTTAAACTCTTGATTTTTTCCTTGCCTTCTTAAGTTAAATTCTTTGCCGTGGAGAATTAGTATAGGCAGTGGCCACCATTATCATATTTATCTCAACTGGCAAGTTATTTTGTTGATAAAATTGCTTTCTTGCCAAATGTTACTTAATTCAAACTGGTTGGTGTTCTTTCTTTTTTAACCTTTTCCCAAAGTTTTTCTAATGCCTTTCTTGGCAACTTTTTAATCATATTGTTTCATATTTAATTTGACCTTCTCATACTTCTCAGTTTTTTAAACTTCCATGATAATCATCAAAATCTTTGATAATTAGTATTATTATATTTTGGTTAGATTTCCAACCATCTTAATTCTTGCTGAGTGTCAATATTAGCAATATTAGTTAAATTTCCTTAGGAAAATCACTCTTGCCTTGATTTTTCCCTATCTCTTCAATAGTAAAATAATTTCCATTGGTAAACCATTCTGCATGTATCACTGAAATCTAGCTAACATTTTGGAAGGTTTAAGTTTATGCTTTTCAAACTTCTTATTTAATTCATCAATGGCTTTATTTTTCTTTTAGAAATAGTTCTTTATGTTATTCATAATAAATATTTTTATAATTGCTTTGTGATACTTGTAACCTGTGGCAAATAACATCACAAATTATTTATTTTATAAACTTTTCAAATATCAAGACTATACATGATATGGTAATTAGCTAATTACCGTAAATACGTAATTCGTCATTAACGTAATTAATAATTACCACTTTCACTCTTTAAAAACGTAAATACGTAACTAATTACGGGCGACAAATTAATTACTATTGTGAAAATTTTCTATGCAAACCGTTGTTAACACTATACATGGGATGGTAATTGCATAATTACCGTAAGTACGTAATTATCGTAATTAATTACCATTTTCCTCTTTAAAAACATAATTACGGGCGACGAAATTAATTATGAATAACAACGAATTAATTATTGGAAATATCATAATACAAGTCACTCCCGTTATTACAACACTCTCCGTACAAGCAAAAAATGTCAGTATGACGAGGATGTCATTATAACGGGAGTTCATATAGAAGTCATATGAGAATCATTGTCATGTGATTTTGTAATTTTATTTTTATTATTTTTATTTCATTCATGTTTTATCAGGAAATTTAAAACTTACGCCGGGTCAAAATTGACTAATATTGTACAGAAGTGTTATCAGAATTTTCCATGATGCTGGTCAATCTTGATCCTGGAGTAAGTTTTATTTCCTTATGTTTTTTCAGAAATGAGAATGATTTTTATTGGTTCTCCCATTATACTGACATGTCGTTATAACAGAATAAATTCTATAATTCTAAAAAAAAGTTGACAAATCATGTTATTATTATTATACTAGTATAACGAGATAAATAATAGGTGTCATTTAATTTTGTC